AAATTTATTATGGTTTATAATGGCAAATGATACTTTGAATATTACATGTTAATAACTTGATTGGAATTATAACCTTGAATTGACAGTTTGATACTTTGAAAATTTTGAGCCAGCCCTACCCCCAAGGGCTGTAGGGTGGGGCTCAAAGGAGTCAGTGTGCTAAAATTTCTTCATTTTCCTTGTTAAGAATCAGAGGTGCTAGTTTCAAATCCTTTTTAGTCTGAAATCTGTATGCTAGATATTGAGTAAGGTGGTTTTTTGTCAATTTGAATAATATTTCTGTTCATGTTAAAAACAAAATCAACTCTCTGTATAAATATATCAGGTGACCGTTAAGGCCCATGGGCCTCTTGTTAAACAGTCCAGTTATTTGATTTAACTTGTTTCAGGAGTATCCTTTCCCTGGTGCCATGTTTCCTCTCAATCTGCTGTATGCCTCATTCCAAGGATCATCAGCCAAGGTAAGTGTGCCCTTCAAGGATGTCCTTCTGTACAAAGGACCTTTGGTAATAATGCATTGAATATTATCATTCCTGGCATCATTGATCTTCATCTGTGTGTCAAACCCCTGTCTGTATATTTACAAATAGCTACACATAACTATACACAACAAATGTGGGGCTCTAGCTTGTGTCAGTGTATCATATCAATAGACAAGAAAAGGGTACAGGAGAGTAGTTATCTATCCTAGGGATAAATAATCCTGCAAATATTGTATCAAACAAATTCACTTTCACTTCGTGTTAAAAACAATTTATTTTATTTTTTTGGGGGGGGGGGGGGGGGGGGGGGATGTTTCACCGAATTTATCCATTTTATTGAATATGAATCTATTATGTTTTTAATTGGCAATTGGAATCACATGAACATTTCGTTGATAATGTAAATGTCTTGTGATATATTCTCAAACACTGTTGTAATTGATTGTCCACAACTTGCATTTACCTTGTTGAGTGTTTGTGCTTCATTGGTACAGAAATTAAAAACTGGCCATAAGTACATATGATTTCTTTCTAGCCTTGATAGAAATTCACAGACCATAACTTTACAAGATAGAGTATTAAATTTGTATCAACTGCATTAATTGTGTGTGTTTTTGTACTGTTTTTCAGACAAGACTGTTACAACAGTCGAATAACTATGACCGACTCGGGATATCTGAGACTGCGGAACACAAGCTAGTCATCTTCCTCTACATCATCAGCTCAGGGCTGGCCATAGCTCTTACCTTCCTCCTACTGGCCACAGCCAAACTCATCAGCTATGGGGAGACAACTATCGAATATCAGATCAATCTGGCTCAGAAGAAGAAGTTACAAGAGAAAAATATTGTAATTATCTAATTCAAATATACTGTTGATACGAGGGTTGTCAACGATTAGCCAATTAACCGGTTATGCAGTTGGATGACCGCAAACCGGTGACAAAAATCAATAACCGAAGAGTCGGACATTCATTTACCCCATGGGGAGCCCCATGTTGACCTGGAATTGACCTACAAATTATATATCGATGAGAACAAAACCAGATATTTTAGTAATAAAAGCAATGCTCAGACTGTTTTTGTAATGATTAGTAATGATTGAAACAGAGATGCGGACCTCAACATAAAAAAGTCTGAAACATTTTTGAAAGGTAGACCTCGCTTCAAAGGGTGGGATGAAAAAACAATCTCAAGAGTTCATGAATGAAAGATGTCAGTGAAACATTGAAAGAGGTGCAATCACCTATGAATGAGATCGTGGATCAAATCATGGTTCTCCAAACAACCATGTCCACTCTATACCTCAAGTAATTTTCACTGGATTCACGTCAAACTTTATAGGAAGGTTAACCCTTTCACCCCTGTGTAACTTTAGTAGACTATACCATGCATTGATCTGGACGAGTCCACTGTGGTCTATAGTGTTGAAAGGGTTAATTACCTTGAGAGCTTGGGAAGATTTCGTTAACCAGCATTATCTGCCTGTAATTTGTAGAGTTATTCCCCTTGAATCAGTTGAGTGAGTGTTATCACAACTCTTACCATAATTAATAGAAGTATTCCCCATGGTTTCATTAATGCAATACAATGTACTACATGCTGTCTGTGATGTTGTACTATACTCATTGATCTACCAGAAATATTGTTCGTTTAACATCAATTACTCACAAATATTTAATACAGGTCAATGATACAAACATTTTAATTACTCGTTAAAGACAGGTGGAAGCTAGAGACAGGTTGCAATCTTAGACAAGTGATATTTTTTGACAGCTGGTAATTATAGACAAGTACCACAATATAATGGTTTAATGAAGGTAGCTATACGGAGGTAACAGTTATAGACACTGGTGGTCTCCGTAAGGCAGGTTGTAATAATCTTCAGATACTGTAAATGTACTTGTTCTAGTGCCATAGAAATTTAGTTGATACTACCATTGTACATGCAAAACATTTTAACAGAAGTTTACATAATAAAACTTAATGCAATTGGTGTAATATTGTTTATATTGTGGTACAACTATTTCAAACAAATCAATCACTTAATTCCCTTACAAATAAAACAGGGTTCTATAAGTATTTTTCCTAATTGCAGCAGTTCAAGAATCCCTATCATCTCGGATTTAACACCAACTGGAAGTTGTATCTGGGATTACAGGAAGTAACACTATGGTGAGTAGCTGTAGGATATCGGACCCAGATCTGTTAATTTGTCTGGCCAAAAGTCAAACAGCTTCAGAATGAATGCTAGAAAAGTTGTACGAGATTATATATTGTATTACAGTTTACAACTATTTTTGTATTTCCTATCTGTAAACACCTCCTGGTACATTTACTGGTTGTGACATTATAAGGTAATAAACAAGGCCATTTAATGCCTGCACATCTTTTTCTCTGAAAGTTAGCCTTTCAACAAAAATATCATCATGTATCAAGACAAGATAAAAGCCTCACAAACTACAAAACAGATTTAATTTCATATCCAGTCATCGAGACTCTCAGTAATTATCATATCTAGTCAGTAAGACATATGATGTCCTGTGGACTTTCGAAATTGAAAATCATTATTCCAGATATTGTATTTGAAAGTGGTTGGATTAAATTTTACTGTACCAAAACATTTGTTCATTACAGGAGTTTTTTGAAAGAGATCCTGATTCCATCTGTCTACCGACCAGAGGGTGACGGCACCACCTGGAGAACTCAAAAATTCAAATACCATTTTGATCCAGAAAAGGGCCTTCAAGTATTATGAAACCTTTTAATCCGTGCAGAGACAAACTGCTCCATTATTTTTTAAACATCAGTTCCAGTATTCCGAGTTTCTGGATTCTTACTGGAAAGATGCTCATTTCAATGTATGTCGGACAATTACCTGTTACATGACATCGTTACATTTGTTTACAGGTGAACTGTAACTGTTTACATTAAGTGCTGTTGTGATTGTTGCCTATTTCAATGTCTTGTTATTTGTCACAATTATTTTTCTATTAATCCTGTTTATAGCATTTACTTATTATTAAGTAAATCATTAGGGGACTTACTTGCCCCCAAATCCAGCAACCTCACAGTCCAGTCACTTACACTGATAGTGACTGTTGTGACTCTCTTTTATAAGTTAGAGGGTTCAAAATTCTGGCTGCAAAGGCCAACAGCATGCATACGGTATATAAAAGTATGTTGCTGCTATAGCCCTGAATCTAGTTTCTGTTCCCCAAAATGTCTTCAATAAAACTTTTTTCCTCTTCTGGGAATGAAATGTTTGCTAGTAAATTAAGGAGAAGGGTGTTAACTTGTGCTATGAATTGTTAAATAAACCAGGTAGTCTGATGTATAAACTTCATATTTTACAAATACGCATAATTTGTGAGACCAGTCTTTTATGTTGTTCTGATCAGTTCTTTGATCATAATTTAATTGTGATATCTTTTTATATAGAATTGAATTTTAAGATAACGTTTTTTTCTATTAATGTTTAAAATTTCACATATCTTATTACTCTTTATATATTAATGTAAATATATTTATATTTGAACAAATATACCTTCCATTTTTATGGGTATGCAAAGAGGTTCGAAGAAAAGAAAAAGAATTCCACTTATTTTCCGGAATTTGTACAATATTTATAAAGTGTTCAATCTGTGCAAAAATCATATGTGCCAACGTTAACTCTTAAAAATTCCATGGGAGAAGATCTAGATTCCAAGTGCTCAAAATTTGAAAAATAAATGTGTGTATATACCCCCCAAGGAAAGCGAGCATTTTAACATGGTATTATTTGAGTTGTTCTAGGATGAAATCATTAGATCTTAGAATATAGGAATACAGTCTGTAGTTTAGAAAATTCACTGGTTGAAAATACTAATTTAAGGGTCCAAAATCGCGAGTCTCCTTCCAGAATAAGGAGAGTTAGCAAGTATGAACTAGATGAGAATTGAATTTAACAGTATCAGATTTATTGTCAGGTTACTCAGCAGATATATATATATGTTATATATATACAGGTATGTTGCATTTTGTATCGCAAACAATTCCTCAAATCGCAGGTTGAGATCACCTCAAATGTGTTTGTGATATTGAATACTAGAAAATGTCTTAACAGAACAAAACTCATACAACAATGTCTTCTGATACAAACTTAACAGCAGCAGCATCCCCCCCCCAGCTATTATATGCAAGATGTACAATTTATAAACTATGTAGTTTGATACAAAAGTGGGCCATATATTGTTTGAGTTTATGTTTTGTAAACAGAATATCTCTTTTAGTCCACAAATGTTTACAGTGATCATGAAATATTTGTTGGTGTGTACTAAAATGCAATACATTAATCTCTGCTACAAAAATAAAGATGAATCATGAAAACACTCCGTGTTACTTGTATTTGTGGTCAGGTAAAAGCAGGTATTGGTAAGGTTTTAAGTTTTAAGCTCACCTAGCCCGAAGGACCATGTGAGCTTATGCTGACTGTGGCGTCCGTCGTCCGTCCGTCACTTTTTTCTTTTGAACGACTTCTGAAGAACTGGAGGACCTAGAGTCACGACATTTGACCAGTAGGTAGATGGGATGGAGTGCTTTAAAGTTTCCTCATTAAAATGACCTCAACCTAGTTTCAAGGTCACAGGGGTCAAATATGTTAAAATTTTAAGTGTTAGTCCGGGGTTCGAAAGTTAACATGGGTTAAAAGCTTTAACAATCTTCTTCTCAAGTTCCATAAGGCCCAGGGTCATGATAGTTGGCCAGTAGGTACCTTGGATGGAATGCTACAAAAACATTCTTCATAAAAAAGATCTTGTCCTACTTTCAAGGTCAAAGGGTTTAAATATGTTAAAAACTTCAAACAACAACATCCTAAGAACCATTTACACTAGAGTCATAATACTTGTGTGTGTTATGTAGACCAGCTGTTTGAATTTTTTTCTTCATAAAAGTAATGACATCAACGGTCAACTTCAAGTGCTAGTAGGGAGTCAAAGGTCAACATGGGTTAAAAGCTTTAACAATCTTCTTCTCAAGTTCCATAAGGCCCAGGGTCATGATATTTGGCCAGTAGGTGCCTGGGATGGAGTGCTGTAAAGTTTCCTCATAAAATTGACCTTGGACTATAGCTAGTTTCAAGGTCAAAATGGTCAAATATGTTAAAAACTTCAAACAACAATATCCAAGAACCATTAGGACCAGAGTCATAATACTTGAATATGTTATGAAGACCAGCAGTGCGAATATTTTTCTTCATTACAGTAATAAGGTCAAAGATCAACTTTAAATCCCAGCCGGTGTCAATGGTCAAGGTGGGTTAAAAGCTTGAAAATTCAAATTTCAAACAACAATATGTTAAGGACCATTTAAAATGTCATGGTTCTAGTTACCAAATTTGGTCTTTAGTTATATATATGTCTGTTTTATGTAACAAAAGAAACAGATGGGTGATACAGGCCCTTTGGGCCTCTTATTATTTGAACTACTCTATTTGCCTTTGTACTACCTACACCAGGGGATAGCAATTGGGAGTTAAAATATAACATTTTGACAAATATTTCCAGATAATTCACTTTGGCAGTATGTGTACTGTAACCGGCCATGATGTATTGATCGGTCAAGCTAAATACCCAACTGTACAGCTGCACCATGGCCCTCATGTAACTAATATTATGCATGAACTTGAATTATTGAATTAATAAAATGCATGATATAGATACTGACATTTATCTGCATACATCTAGCACTCAATCATGTGCCCTTACAAAAAAACCTGTATTACCTGCTGGATAAACACAGAAAACTCTAGTGCAACCGATATACTATTGTTCTCACTGCTGCCTAATACTCAATCTGCCTCACATCATTGTTCATGTCTTAAAGTAGCTGTTCAGAAATTGCAATACTGTATAACAGCATGCATACTTCAATAACTGGAATCCATTTTACAGCAAAAATTCAATAAAGGTGTGAGCCTCAGGAGTGATGTGTGATACAGTACTTAGCATGTTTTAATGGTGATGCCATCGTCGGATACCCACAGTTGATCTCGCTTCGATACTCACTCATCACCATCATTGTGATGAGTGAGTACCGAAGCGAGATCCGACGATGTGGTGATGCATGATACATGAATTTCACTAAGATTGTCATACAAATTGCACAATTTCTATGTATTATATTTCTTAGATCATACAGAATTTAACTTATTCACCCCTGAAGACACATTTGAACTCTTCCAATTCATAGGTTGGAACAGTTCATTATGAAATTTCATGGGTAAATGAGTCCAGGCACCGTGTCAATTTTTCACCAATCTGTTCCTTAAATTAAACATCAAGAGAGTTATTTCCCTTGGAGAACAACAGTATACTGATAAGTTTCAAGCATGTAACACTTGACTGCATTTTTTTAATGTTTTTTATTACTATTTTTGATGAGTATAGATACAAATGATAGGGAGAATAACAATCACCGCCTCTCGGGCATGCCTATGGCAGACATTGTCTGTTCAAGGTAGGCCAGGGGGCCTTGAGGGTAGGCTGGAGGAGGGTTATGTGTCATTCCTTGGTGCCCCGGACCAGGGCGCTGCATCAGTATCTGTGGATTTTGCCCCTGGATCTGTGTCGACCCCTGGGGTTGGTTGACAGCGTACCCTTGACCTTGTATGTTTATCTGTGCTGGGTTAGGCATCGTCTGCCCGTGGGGGTGGGGTATAGCGGTGGGGACCAGACCTTGGGGCCCTAAAGTCATTGTCTGTGAACCATGTGCCGGCACCCCCCCTCCAGGGCCCCTCGCCACACTGTTTAACAGGCCCTGCCATTTCTGTAACCTCTCCTGATGTCGTTTCACCAACTGATCCTTCCTCTCTAGTTCCGTTTTTAAATCTTCTGTGCTCTGAATATATAAAAAGAGTAAGAGAGAAAAATATTTGAGCATCTTTGAGGAAAATTTCATTAACAAAAATCACTGAAGCTTTAAGTTACACTTTTCACTGCTTTGTAAAAATCTTAAATAAATATTTGAAACATAGGTACAGTACATCTTTATTCATCAAGTATCCAGTAACTATGTTATAAAACAAAACTAATGAATGGGAATTGAAGAATGGTGTGCATTAATGATATAATGGGGCAATGCATATACACTGTACATGTAACTGTTTCCATGTCGGTTCGGCAGCCATGTTAAAATGTATATGTCACCTACATTGTATTATCACAGGCTTAAATCATCATCATAATTGAAATAAATAAGATACCTGAATGAAACTTCAGCCACAAAAGCATTACAACAGTGGCTAACATCTCCAATGGATAAATACTGCATACCATTTTGTTTATATATATATCATCATTTCTGTAGAAAATACCATTGAAATTTATCTGTATCACAGCAGGTGCATCAGATGTGCGAGGTGACATTAATGACTTACGTCTTTGATGTCTTGTTCAGGCCGCGTTTTTGAAAGGACTAATCTCTTGTGAAGGAAAAATGCTTCAGTTTGTCTGGCAAGGTCCAGAAACTTCTGTAATGACTGGTCAACACCTATAAAAGATTTCAGATACATTGAACATAAATTTTAAAGTGGAAAGATGAATTAGTGCTTCTCAACAAATTAAATACTTTTCAAACATAAATATGATAAATGGTGCTCTAAATCTTCCATTCGTCAAAGCCCTTCAACTTGGTTTATATATGTTCCCCGATCAGAGGTAAAAAGGTATCAGGTTTTCTCTGGGTGCTCTAGTTTCCTTCCAGAGTAACCTCCCTTGTGCTGACATCCGGGCCAACATGAATGATTAATAACAGTCATAAAAAATTGTTTCATAATTGTTGTAAAATACATACATTAAACATAACCTTGCAAGCTTTTAATTTACTAAAACAAGGCAAGAAATTAATTTTAGAAACCATGAGGCAGTCGGGCTAGTAATTTCCAATTTTACTACCCTATCTGCACATGCCACAAACTCAATATTATTCATCAAGATAAACAATACCAAATTTTGACTATTAAATCAGGCAAGTGGTTTTTTTTAACCATGCATTAGTCTCAGACTAGTGGGCTACCCTTATTGTCTAGCCCTGTAAATACATACATGAATAAATAACGTTAAACTGTATAATTACACATAAAATTCAGATGTCAGAACAACCCTGGCCTATGGTCATTCATATTTTCTGTATTTATTTATTCTTTATCAAACAAAAATGATCTAATTTGTATCTTTTATTATATATTATATATTAGTTTATCTTTCAATTTCAGGAACAATCTTAACCATTCAGTCAAATAAAATTACATGCAAGATGGTCTTATTGTTATGCTTCTAAATCTTTGCAGTAGACAATTCATGCAATTGCAGTCTACATGTACTGTAGGCATGCCATACAGGTATGTACCTGCTTTTGTTTCCTCAGAATCTGTTACGTTGAAGTATTCTTGGCTTGTCAATAAACTCGCACAACTCTACAAAGGATAACGAATCATCACATTAATGATTTATGTTACAAAATTGAAAAAATAATTATAACTGCATCTGTACATACTCGGCTTGACATACAAAATCATAAGAATATGCTCTTTTGCATTTTCATCTGAAAAGGAAAACCTCTTACTTTAAATGAAGATGTGGTGTGGTAATTTACGATCACTCTTCTGAGGCGTGTTCAATCTGTCAATCTAGCAATATAGCTGTAAAACTCATAATAGCTGTATCAACCTATTTGGAATAGCTCTTTGGAGCTTTCTTCACATTATTGTCATAAACGTAATTTTCCTTTTAAAAGAAAACGACAAAAAGTCGCATTTAAAAAGATTACATTACTATTGACATTATTTTGATTACAAAATACTTCATTTAAAAAAGTTGATGTAAGAAAATTGTACATTTATGAAAAATGAAAAAATACCTCTCAATTATTTATAAATGCATGTTTTTTGTAAGCTACAATACCTAAAAAAAATGTTTTGGAGCTTTGCTAAAGTTATAATAAAAAAAAATGAAATCTTAGAAAATAAAGTTCAAGGCAGCTTCAAATGTTTGGTGGATATATATAGCTACCGGGGTATACAGATTTGTACTGGACAGAAGAGCTATATAGGCCAGTGCATGATCGATGCTCTAATAATTATTCGCTATATTAAAATATTGTGATGAAAGCAGAACTGGACTGGATTGATCGTCGGCGACCAGGTAGCTCAATTGTTAAAGTGTTTATCTAGAGTTTGGATAGAATGTAGCTGAAATAGACACGGTAGAATCATCAGCCGATGTAGCTCAATTGGTGGAGCGCCAGTTAGAGCTTGGCGGGTTCTGGGCCACCTTCGTTTTATCTCAGCCCAAACGGTTTAACCGGGTTGGACTAGAGTTATTCGTTTATGAAATAAGGTCCGACCACAGGGGTTCCTAATTACAAATGACTTTTAAATATGAATATGCTATACTTCTTCCAATAACCTGCATATAACACATCTGGTGTATTGTCACAGATGTGTCACATACATACCCAGGGGAAAGTTGGAAAACATGCCTCAGTTACTGAAATGGGTCACAGCACATATTAACATACGTTTCGCCCCAAAACTGTTACGCCCAAGACCATTTTGCCCCATTTTTTTTCGCATCGCCCAAATTTTCAGTTCAAAGGATTTCACCCGAAATATGACAACCATATCGTCCCAAAAACTAAATTTGGCCCAAATCGCCCCTAAAGCTATATCGCCCCAAAATTCTATATCACCTCAACCGCTACGAACGTATATTGAATGATATCTGATCTTGTGAAAGTTGCGGTAGTTATTGCCAGTTTCACTTAAATATACTATTAATGATTAGGAACATGTAACCTCAAGTCTCAAATTGGTACAGTTTATTTTTACATTTATCAGTTTGTATGTTGATAAAAGAGATCGTCAGCTCAATTTGTGAAAAGTAAAAGATATGTCGAATAATGTGCCAATTGAGTTTCTGCCCTTCATATTACACAATAGACATTTTTGCCAGCTGGGCTTCATCAGTCGAGAAGCAAAAATACTGTTCTTACCCTAAACATCAATAAGATATCAGCTTGAATGTTAGCTATTTCAAATTTTCCACTATGAAGAACAAAAATGATAATGTTGGTTTGAAATGAAGAATCACTGAATTAGATCAGATGCTATTTAAGTCCATGGAAGAATGTTACTCGGAAGAACACGTTATAGATTGATTTTTTATAGTATGTATTTTTTTTAATTAGTTAATGAAAAAAAATATTCTTATGCTGAAAAAGAAGGTCTATTATATAAACAAATATAAGTACACATACTCTCTAGCTCTCTTGAAACGCACCTAACATATTATTGTAGGTTTTTTTGTTTCCGATCTACAGCACACGTTAATATATATAATCTAATTATTTTATACACATATATATATAAATTATCTACAATAAACAAATCCTGTCTAACATAGATACTATAGATGCGTTACAATATCGATCTAGTTACGTTACGGCACAAAAATGATGTCCCAAACATCAAACGAATTGCAACCGATATTATTTTTTGAATGTCTAACTTTAACAAAATTACATAAAAGTTAGATATTCAACTTTAAAATTTGTCGTAAATTTTATGGAGGAAGGCGTTGTAGTTTTTGGGGACGTTATGTTTTTTTGGGGCGAACTGGTTTGGGCGCTATGATCAAATTTGGGGTGTAACAGCTTGAGGCGTTAGGGTTTTGGGGCGAATCGTCTGACACCCTGTGCTGTGACCCATATCAGTTTGTCATAAGTATGTGTATTTCAGACATTTGTAACGAATCCCTGTGATATTAAAGGCCGTGTAGTTACATACATGTATTTATTTCGGTCTGTCATCAAATGAAAAATTCACCTGAAATGCGCTCTCAAGTTCATCGATAAGGTTTCCATTACTTCCACCCTGAGGTCTTTCTGTATTGGCAGAAGCCATATTATTTCCTCAAAACAGTTTCCACTGCCAAGTTTTTTAACAAATGTGCTTTGTTTTCATATTTTAAGCTTTGAAATGACATAGATTACGGTGTCTAATATCCAGTGACGAAATTCGCTTGCTATTCCGGATGATGAATTGGGAGAAAAAAAATGTTAGTTATATCATCGTAAAAATTAAAAGTTAAAACATGTGTTTTTTAGAAATACTTAAGAAGTATTGAACGATTTTTTGCTTGAAGATGTGAACATTTTGTTATACCTATTATGAATATCCGGATTAAGATTTTTCAGCTCTCAACTTTGTGTTTAGAAATCCATTGTATACTTCCGACTCACATGAGCTAATTCGGCTAACAAATAAACAAATATGTTTGTTAAAATTGGAAGATGTATCTGTTTAAGTGCTTTGCTGTCAGTTACGTTCTGCGACGACTACAGAGTGGATTATTCACATGGTCTAGGCCGGAGGTTTGACGGGATAGGCGGACTAAGTGGTGGAGGGGTACGAATTATTGGGGGAACATTATCAGTTACAGAAAGTAGCTTAACATGAACCATCACTCAAAATGTACACATCGATATCAAAGACATGTTCCTCCCTTTGTTGCTTAACTCCATTGTTTTCAATTTGCATTTTGAAAGGCGCCTTGTAAATGTTGTGTCATTTTTGGTGTTGAATAAAAACATGGTATGGCCTAGGCCTTAGGGCAGGCCATAGTTTCTATCCAGTCGGACAGAACTGCAAGGGGACAATACTCGTATGTTGATCAAAATCGAGCAGGTACAGTACCTGGATTAATGGTCACTCGGAGCGGAGGTTTTCCCAAATCTAAAAGTCCAAGATGTATTCTTATAAAATATATATATTGGTAATAAAACCAATTTGGTTATGAAGGTTATGCAAAATTACATCAAAACATTAAAACAATTCTATCCAAATATTCACTGGAAAAATGTGAATGCTTGTGATAATTGGATTGAACTTTATAGAATTGTAACAAAAAGCATGTCACATCCTTAGTCACAAGTTTCAGGATTGAATGTTGTTTGTAAGGAATTTGAAATTACTTTTTTTTCATAAATGATTTTCTGGAATAGAATGAACATTTGTGAAAAACATCTTGATGTATATTCACTAATATCAGAAAGAAAGCATTCAATATCTAATGTTTCTGATCTAAATGTTAATTAACTGATCGTGATTTAATATTTGATTTTATGATTTATAAATGATTTAATTATAGCTTAATATATGACTATATGTTTTAGAAAAGGCTCTTGTGATTGTATTGTCAAAATTCTAATAAATGTTGCAACATTATATAGTCAGGGATATTTATTCTTATGACTTCAAAAGTCTGGATAATGATTCAGAGAACAAATCCATATTTTTGCCATATTATCACTTATTTTGCTTTGTCACAAAACAATAAAAAGCCACAAGGTTTTGGTACCAATTGCTGCATATTGTGATTGTAGGACAATATTAATCCAAACAAACACAAATATATATTTCACCACTGTAGTATACACACAGACACATACAAATGTGGATGTATTAGTCAGGTGGCTTAGGACCAGTAGTAAACACCTGATGGACCCGTCCAGATCAATGCACGGGAGAGTCTACTAAAGTTGCATAGGGGTGAAAGGGTTAAAAGAGACTTAAAACCTTTACAGTTTTATTTCTTTTTTGAAAATGTGAAATACTACTATTGATGGTGAATAAATATAACTTACATCTATAGCTATATGTGTGTATTTTTATTGACCTGAAGACGTACTTTATAATACTCAATAGTGTTTGTATCAAATTCTATTCCAGGCAACATCCAAGTTGTTGGTAAACTACCCTAAGGACTACAGAGACCAAATCCTTGATTATTTGTTCAAGGTAATGTACTTTATTGTAGCATTAGTTAGCCATGTACATGATGCATGATATACATAATGTAGAATTCAAACAACCCTGGTTTAATTAGAAAATGGTTTTGGGTTGGTACTATGTATACCGTGTCTGTAATATGTCATCTTCAAGTAATTACTGTAGGTAACATTATGGAAAAAAATAATTTCAAAATATTTCATTGACATGTACATTATATGTTTATAATACAAATTGAACATGTACAATTGTAAGTTGTACGTGTACATGTATATATCAAATCACTTTGAAATCAGATGGTTCATAATAAGAAAAGTATATATATATAAAACAAAATTACATACATGTACTACAGTATTGACAAAAGAATCAGACAACAGGCTAAACCTATATCAGTCTTATTCTATTTCCGGTAATGATTTAATTTATATGTAGAAAATATATGTGTAGTTGTAAACCATAAGTAATTACAATGTCATTACACTATGGACAAAAAAATGTACATGCCATGGAGCACAGTTCCACTGCATTGTAACATGTACCATGACACCATCAACACACAGACACATACAAATGTGGATGTATTAGTCAAGTGGCTTAGGACCAGAAGTAAACACCTGAAAGGCAGCTCCTGAGAGGATGGATTGATTGCATTGTAATAATAATAATTGATTGTATGAATTATATATTTCGACATATTACTAAAACGCCTAAGTATCTTTTTTCTTGCTAGTTATAATTAGTGTCCTATATCAAATTTTGTATAATAGATAAATATTGTATACACAACAACACTATGACATACTTATAGTAATTTAAATAAAAAGTGTTTGAGAGTTTAGATTTTAGTTTGACTGTTTGCTGTGCTAGCATTGTATAGTGGGCCTATAGCTACTGTATCTTTGAGGTTGTAAGGTTAGCTTGGTAATTTCCACTTATTATTCAGATACATAAATAACATGAGTAAACAATTATGTTTGATAATAATACTTATGACATCTAATAAGTGTCCATGGGATTTAATTAATTTCTATATATTGGTTCCAGTCCTATCAACTTGAACTTCTTTGTTTCATAATTTTGTAATACATTACCATAATTTTGTAATACATTACCATTTATATTTTACATGCAGCCAAACTTTGCAGCCTCTCTACAGATACTGAAGGTAGAAATTGGAGGAGATTCTCAAAGCACAGGTAAATATATATACTTCTGTATACAAAATATACCTATAAGCACAGGTAAATATATATAATTCTGTATACAAAATATACCTATAAGTACAGGTAAATATACATATACTTCTGTATATATACAAAATATACCTACATGTATAAGTACAGGTAAATATATAAACATCTGTATACAAAATATACCTATAAGTACCGGTAAACAAAGCTAATTCATTTACATTCACTGCATGATGAACAGTGAGGAAAGAATGAACCCACATGATTTTAGGATCAAAAGGTCCTTGCCGTAGTTACCTATTTTGTGTAATTTATAAGAATGGTATCTTTTGACATATGACTTGAAATTTTACAAGTTGATTATCTATAAAGTGAAGAGGTACCCTTTTATTTAGGGAAAAGACATTGTGCTGATTTCCCTATATACATATACACACATACATTATTGAGCTGAGCACAGGGTATTAGTTACTTAGTGCTTTCATTTTACAGATGTCTTCTTAGATCATTTTGTGTCAGCCACAGGTTGTGTGATACAAATATTTCTGGATAGGTTGTCGCTGTCAAGCCCATTGATTCTTCTTTCTCAGTATCAATACCACAGTTCTAGATCAATCTCTGGTTGGCTAATTCTTCTTCCTGTTTGGCAATGCAATGAGAAATGTATACAAAAACTGTGCATTTATTGAAGTTTCTTTGTGTACCCTTATTTTTTTTCATACATTTCTTGATTTGCTTTTGCTTTCAAATTAACTATGGCCAAATTTACTTTCTATTTAAGAGGGAACAGAGGCATCTCACATGCACAATGAGTGGGACGAGAATTACCAGCGTGGGTATGAGTGGTGGCTTATGACCGAGGCTAAAAAAGTAAGTAGCGTAAGCCTATTATGGTATTAAATAGAGACTCAAAGATGACTAAACTCTAACACTGGACTTGACGTTTAATAGATCTTAACTAACACTAGGCTAAAAATCACTACATGGAATACCTTCATAACCATTTTGAGAAATCTTCTTAATGTTTACATGTGATACATATATACATTTGATTTGAAATACTGCTCAACAGATTTTATTACACTGTATGGAAATGATTGATATTTCAATAAACAAAATGTCTTATTTGTTAGGGTGTTCTCTTGATCATTGACATTTTGTAATTAATACCAGAAGTTTAAACTGACATTTTCCCTAAAAACAGACGGTGATAATGTTTATTTAGACAGACCTGTCCTTTCATAAATTTAGAGTAAAATTAAACTAATATTGGGGAGTCCAAATTATATGCTCAGGGGTTTGTTAAAGGTCCTGCTGATATGATATGTATCTGGATACATGTATTGCCCAGTTACTGAGTAGAAAATTAAGGAACAAAGCAGGTATATTTAATTGATATTCAATTTAGGATACCTATATATACCTGTTGTTTATATTTATATTTGATTAATGTTATAGATATTGTCAGTAGGTCAACTTCTAATCATACTGTCCAGATTTACATATAGTAATTGCACACAAGGTTAAATAACTTGTAAAGAAGACACAGTCCTTTAACTTGTTCACCCCTGAAATTTCATAATGAACTATTCCAACCTTTGAATTGGATGAGTTCAAATATATCTCCATGGTTGAATGAGTTAAGCATTACTGCTTTCATGTTGTATTAACGTTAAGATGCATGTTTCCAGAGAAATCCGGACATTCTTCTGTATGGTCTGCCGTGGGCGTTTCCGGGCTGGCTTGGCGATGGTGGGGACAATCCTTACACTAATGTCACGCGAACAGCAGAGTATGTAACACGCTGGCTGCTCGGGGCTAAGAAATTCTACAACCTCAGCATCGACTATATAGGGGTAGGTATAACTTAAATACAGCACACAATGTATGTGGCTGTGTTATCAACATCTCTAGTAAAATAACACTATGTATGAAATAAAACCACACCTCAACACGGTTGTTAGTATCTCAGTTTACTGGCTGCGAGTTTTAAGGTTCTGACTGCAATTAGTTGTTCGGTGTTACTACGTCCTTCAAAAAGTTACCCAATTATATTTTGATTACCTAGCTGTATTAATGGGTATTGGCATGCTGGGGAAGTAATTTGTGAAAGACTAGCATCCTTCCAGGATGGAGACATCAACTCTCAGGGCTTCAAGGCACAGAAACAGAAGCTTACTGTATGATTTACTAGACTCAGATAAAGGCTTCCCTTTACATCCTTAGTTAAGTTATATATATAAATGATTGTTTTTTCTGTTGTAGATCTGGAATGAAAGGCCATATGATATTTCTTATATCAAGGTGTGTATAAGTATTCTGGTCAATTTTTCATCACATTTATCTTTACTTAATTTCTTGAGTGCTGGTAATGGAATCTGATATGATTAAAACTTCAAACATTATTGAGGATTAGGGTCAAGGAGCCAATCATGACTGACGGAATATAGAGGGTCCAAGGAAAAACCCTGTTTGTGAATGGTGGCAGGGAGGGAGGTTAATACCTGACCCTTTATGAGGAGGTGATATTATTGAACATGAGTTACTGAAACTGTTTTCTGTGTAGACACTGAGAAAGAGCCTCGACACCCATCAGCTGAGCCATGTGAAGATTGTGGGGGCAGACGGAGGTTGGGAGATTGCCTCGGCTATAGAAAAGGACAGTGAGCTGGCAGCCGCTGTAGATTACATAGGGTGAGGGTGCCAACCAAATTACTATAATATGGGAAATTTTGTATTTCGTTTGGCAATATACTTGGTTATAAAACCTGTTGCAAAAGATTACAATTTTAATGTTAACAGAACCTCTTACAGAACAACATTTTGAGGGTAAGATTTTATTTGTATATAGCAATAGTGGTCTGTTAGGATGGATTTTACATGTGAACTGTGAATTCAAAGTCAAGAAACTAGAACCAGAAACCACTCACAACCAAGTCTAATCATCCTAGCCAATCGAATTTACATGAAGAAATCATGTGCTCTTCCTAGAGATGATATATTTATGCAGAAAGGGAGTACCTGGTAATAGATGACTGTTTTATTTTATATAAACAGCATAGCAAGAATTGGTTGATTTATATAATGGATCTTTGGTTTACAGTTAACTCATTCACCCCTGTAGACACGTTTGAACTCTTCCCATTCAAAAGTTGAAATTGCTCATTTTCAATTTTCAGGGGTGAGGGAGTTAAAAAACATTTTAATGTAAAGTTTATAAATGTACCAATTTCACAACTGAATGTTTTATTATCAGAAATATTGATTTGTGATAAATTCTTTTTGTTATCAGTGCCCACTACCCTGGTACAACAACATCATCCGAGGCATTGACTACAGGGAAACAATTGTGGTCGTCGGAGGACTACAGTACCTACAACGACAACACGGGGGCTGGCTGCTGGGCGAGGGTAGGTATTCATGTGGATAACAATGGAATAAAGCAGTAAAGATAATATACAGTATTATAGTCTGAGGTTCCTTTGCAGGGGACTCAAACATAAGTATTTTGATTAAATTTCCCATCATGTTTATTGTCATAGATTGTACATGTGTTGAAAATTGTTTTTATTTTCAGATACTGAACCAAAACTTTGTAAATGGCTTCATGACAAGGTTAGTCTATAAGCTTTCTATAATGTATCAAAATTAACACTGCATGTGGCATTAAAGATGATATATTTCATATGATATAGAAAAATTGTCTAATCGTCCTAAATAGATGTTATCATTTTTCGGTTGATCTGAGATCCCAAAATGGCTACCCTGTCCTGACTTGCTGAAACATAATAAAACCTGCTTATGTGACAGCCTGTATTAAAAGACCGCTTTTTTGACTTCCCAAGTGTGGTATCTTAATACATTTTAACCAATTCTCAATTCCATCAGATGTGTTGTTTTGTAATTTGGTGGGGGTTTATAAGAAATCTGAGATCACCATCATGGTCTCAAGTTAACAGAAATATTTCAATTTGTCTACATGAGGCAATTATAGAAATGAAGAATGTCAAAACTTTGAAACAATTGAATCTTTCTTTCCTCTTTATATATATAACTGTATGCATGTAATACTACTTGCAAATAAGAAAATTGTAGAAAGAGACATTGAATTGCTGAGCATTAGTGTTGATTTATTGATGTTTGCAGTACGATATCATGGAACCTAATAGCTAGCTACTACAGTGCCCTACCTTACCCTGGCTGTGGACTAATGACCGCTGACAACCCCTGGACTGGACACTACGATGTCTCGGCCCCGATATGGATTACAGGTAAAACAATTCTTAGATTCAGGAATTTAACAATTCCAGTAGGCCGATGCCTGTGATTAGTTGGATTTGTAAGAGTTAGCTAAAAAGTTAAATATTTATTATGAAATTATAGGTTTGGGTTGTAGATTTTTTTCAAAAACTAGTCAACCCATATTTGGTAGATTTTAAAGTCCTATTATGGTTAATAAACGCATAAATTTAATTCAAAGTAAGAAAACAGCAGAATTTGAAAAGTTTGTAAAAAAAATATTTGAACATGGTTTGGTCTGCATGAACCTGAAGATGGTTGTTTCTAGTATTTGTTTACATTGCTCAGTTGTATTGATGTATTTATTCATAGCTCATACAACTCAATTCACTGCCCCCGGATGGAGCTACCTGCAACATGGGTCAGGAGTTGGGAAGCTGACCCATGGCGGCAGTTACGTGTCGCTGGTCAGTCCTGACCACAAAGACCTGACTGTCATCATAGAAACCATGGTAACTTCACAACCTAACCATTGTTACAAAAACCATGGTAACGAAAACCATGGTAACTTCACAACCGAACCATTGTTACAAAAACCATGGTAACGTAAACCATGGTAACTTCACTATTGCCATAGAAACCCGAATAAATTCAAGTTTTAAAATTGATATTTCTGAAAGAAATTATAAAAAAAATTAAAAAAATTTGTTATAATGTAGTAAAGTATGTAGCACAGTTGGGGATGCTTTTATTGGATAACCCATCTGGTTTGAGCGATAGTATATATAACAACCTGGAGTTTGGTGTTCGAATCCAGGTCTAGCCATTGTTAAGTATATTTTATTTATTTTTTAGGTCACCTGAGACAAAGTCTCAAGTGACCTATTGCGATCGCCTTTTGTCCGTCGTCGTCTGTCGTCCGTCGTGCGTCCGTAAACAATTTACATTTTCGACTTCTTCTCCAAAACCCCTGAACCAATTTCAATGAAATTTTGCAGGGACCTTCCATGGCCAAAGGTCAACAAAAACAGTTGCCGGTTTAGTCCTAAGCCCCCAGGGGCCTGAGGGGCGGGGCCAAAAAGGGTCAAATTGACTAAAATTTCAAAAATCTTCTTCTCCAAAACCCCTGAACCAATTTCAATGAAATTTTGCAGGGACCTTCCATGGACAAAGGTCAACAAAAA